TACGAGGCTATAACTTGGAGGTGTGATAAAAGTTGGAAGATATGTAGGCTTCGTAAAGGTAATTCAAAATAAAATGTCAATAGACTGATCACTTACTGTTTGTAAGAAAAGTACCCGTGATGTACAGATATAACAGATAGCAGAAACAGATATTCGTTAACAGCATTAGAAGGGTATACAGGTTGGAGTCCTGCCAACACAATCCATGACATACAAAAATGCTTAAAGGCGGCGTTGACCCGAAAAAAAATAGAAATAAAAGTAATCAATTTATGCTGATCAACAAGGTATATGTGGTGCAGTGGCAAGTGAAGTACTACTATTGCGCATGGACACAAGTTCAAATCCGGGATCGATGTTCGCCATAGCAGAACAAACCTCCAGGATCCTTTCATTAGTACCAAATTCGTCTGGGTGGATAAAAGCACTGACTTTTACGTTGGGGAGTGGGCACCGCAAGGGTTATATACGTGTATTTTATACACGATTATTTCGCCCCTACGATTTTAGATGGAAGTCGAGTGTGGAGCGCATCCCAAAAATGGGATGATTGATCGACAGCAAATACTTTATTCATTACCTCAATTATTTAACTGTTCAAAATGACTAAAATCCCGAAGAAATTTTCAAGGTGGCCTTATGGATAAGTACTGAGAAGGGGTACAATCCCACGACGGTGAATCCTTTATTCAACGATCACAATCATTTTTCAAAAAATCATTACTTTATTTCATGAGTTTCTAGTCAAGCTATTTCTAGCTAGACCGTCTTATTTATTTTACTCATCGCTCCTTCTTTCGTTTCTTTTTTCACCCTTCCCTGTACTTGGCAGTTCATCGTCTTTTCAGATTCTGTTCGTTCCCCTCAGTGTTCTTACACGGTACGAAGATGGATGGACGGTCCTCTGGTAGGAACGGTTCTCCTTGGTCAGGTGGTATTTCATCAATGGAGCTGTGAGAACGAGCATGTCTGTGGTCTCCTTTCTTAACGATTCTACACCTCACTTTCCTTATTTTTATTTGTTTTTTTTATTTTTTAATACTATCATTTGCTTGTCTTTTGCTGATTATATTCTAATTTTGCACATTTCCCAGAGTTTTATTGATTTTTGTCTACAAATCGTTGATTCATGAGATACCAGGAGCAGGGTTTACTTTAGAATGCGTGCTTGATTGTCCATAGCTGTTCGGTGGTCGGCAGTGAGACGAAACACAAACTGATGGATGCAGATGGATGCTCCAAGGACCCAAAAATTCTGCCAGACCTCAACTATATCAGTCCTGTACGTTTTTCGTGGTCCTTTGTGAACCTCCCAATGGCCGTTTCATCTGCCTCTCAATCCGTAAACGTTTTTCCATTGCGCACTTTAATTGCTAACAAGGCGAATCGAAATCGCAGCTAATACTGAACGGGGAAGAAGCGAAATGTCGCCGAAGGAGTGGACGACGACGAAGAAATTGAATTGGATCGAAGTGGACAGAACGGCTCGTTAGCCGTTAGCAGCCACTTAGAAAAAGCTTCACTGCCTCTTCACAGCCCACCAAAGACGTTTCTCATAGGAGGGATAAGACAAGGAGGCTTTTTTCGATCGTCTACGACAACATGCGCTTGTCTTCGTCTAACACCTGCTGCGCACAGACCAGGAACCTGTTCCTCAAGCGATTTTTTGGGCGTTATTGTTTTGAAATGCACCTCACTCCCATGGTGTCATTTTGGTCTATATGCCGTGGAATCTGAAGTGATTCATCTGTGACGGCCGTCAGGGTGGCGTTTTGATGGGGGAGATTCGACGCATATGAGACAATGTTAAGCTGTGTCTGATTAATGATCAGCGACCGCGATTAGCATATGACACGACGATCGTCTCAATTGGACAAGCCAAAGCGCCCGTCTGCGCACCAGAAAAGTCAAAACAACGACGGGCCGGGATTATCCTTAGTCTCCGAGCTCCTAAATGGGGATTACCAGTTTATACAAACACCAGCATACTGCATAGTCAGAACCTGTCTACTCACTACAAACTTGGGGTTTGTCTGCAGGGCTCTATTCTGAAACATTCCGGGACGAAGCGACGTGCTTCAATACGGCGCATGCTCTCTGTTATCATGAATAATACCAAGCTATTCGGTGCCACAGTTTTCTTGAGGGCGCGGTCCACTTCGGCTTCAGGAAACTCAGTAAACTTATGGAAGTTATGGAGCGGAACAATAATAAAAAGGCGGCGAAAGCGCGAAAATCTGTGAATATTCCGGAGAAAACCTTAAAAAACTAGCAAAAAAGGGCTTGTACGAGATTATGACGACAGAACTGGCATGGATGGGCTATTCAGGCAGGCTGTTTGTTGTATACTACCTCGTAGAGCCACATTATGCCAGATTAGCCAGAATTTGCCTTTCACTCTCCCAAAGGGTCTCGCTTGAATGTTTGAATTTTCAACAAGCGGACTCCATTGTGAACGGTGCAGCCTAAATAAAGCTGCCATAATACGGTCTCTTTTGGGTCCGTAAGTCAGCCAAACGTGTTTTGAAGCCCCTGCTGGGCTCTGTTTGGGTCGTTTTTCGGCCAGACCGTGTCCCATGTAGTATCTTAGGGGGCCAAAGGATTATTTTAAGGGGATATTTTTGGAACCACTGACTGTGCCTTTACAAAAGAGAAGACTTCATATTATTCGGCAGCTAAACAACCCCCAACCCACTTAGGTCACTATGGAGCCCACAATTTGTTGGACTAAGACATTTACTGTTTAAGGCTATGTTTTGCTCAATCAATGGACTTCACAAAAGTTCTGTTCCGAGCATCATACATTCCATAAAAGGTTTTTAGAATTAGATGGATACTGTAATGGGATTACAGGGATGTTCACCTTATATTCTATTAATGCAGCTGCTGTGATTTCATGCTTGATTGCAGTCTTTATGAGTGAATCGTGTCCTAAGACCATGAATACGTAAAGGAGAAAACTTTTTTGGGCCATTCAAGCTCGTTTGCTCGTTTTGGGTTGCCCTTCGCTCTGTTCGATATCTAGAGCTGTAGTGGTATTTAAATGTGTATTCTAACTAAAGCAAGACGGAC